GGTGCACCTCTGGGTCTCCTGGCGGGCTGCAGGAATCCTTTGCGCCGACCCCAGGGCCTCTCAGAGGGCAGGTCGGCACCCTGGGCTGGAGGGGCACTGGAGACCCGGGCGGGCGGCCGACAGCGCGTCCTCGGGATTTGGGCTGGGGCAGCACCAGAGCCCCCTGGCGCCGCTGGCTCTGCCGGGGGCGCACCGTGTTTCCACCCTTTCTCCCTTGGAAGTTTTCCTGCGGCCTGGTTCACGCACCAGGAAGAAAGGCGCGGCGAAGGCGTTCGCTCGGTTCCACTCGCTCGCTCTCTCCCCGCCCTGCCAGGCGCAGGCCCATCGCCTCTGCCATTAAACATTTGTTGGCACATAAGACGCCCAAGCATTTTTGTAGAGCAGCGATTTTTAACCAGTGTGCCTTAACAATTTTTAAAACATGCAATACCTGACTATTTAGGCAGGGGCACTGATCTCTTTTTCCCTCTGTTGTCAAATTAAAAAATGACAGCCCTAGTCGGTGTGGCTCAGTGGTTAGAGCATGGCCTGTGGACTGAAGGGTCTGTGGCTCGGTTCAGGTCAAGGGCACGGACCTCCCCACCTCTGTTTGCAGGCTGGGTCCCCCACCCGCTCCCCGGGCCTGCAGGAGGCAACCGATCCATGTGCCTCTCGCATGGATGTTTCTCTCTCTCTCTCTCCTCCTTCCACTCTCTCTGAAAAGCAATGGAAAAAATATTCTCTGGGGAGGATTTAAAAATCAGAAAAGGGAAAAGAAAGCAATATAACGGTGTATCTATGGCGTGGTAGCTTTTCTGCAAGAAAGAAGGGGAAATAGAAACATGTGGGTGCACATTGCATGTGTGCATTTGTACACGTGTGTGTGTCTTCATAGCCTTGTGTATGTGCCCGTGAATGTTCACGTGTGTGATTGCTGATCTTTGAGAAAAGAATCTATGGAAGGACAAACTGGAAATGATTACAAGTGATAGTGCCAGTGGGAATGGAGAGGTAGGACTGGGGAAGGGGGGGCGGATCCTACATAGTTTTAATCTTTGAATCATGTAAATATTTTCACCATCAAAAATATAATTAAAAAGAGCAAAAAATGAGAACCCCCAAACTGAAAACCAATTTAAATGAACCCATGTAAGAATATAGTAATATAAGAAAAATCAGAAATATCAGAAAAAGTAATATCAGAAAAAAAGAATTGTTTCAAATGACTTCTGAACACAGTACCTTGGCTGTGACCAAAAGAACTGCCAAGACATCCTAACATTCGCTCAGTGGTTTATTGGCTGCAATAACACAGATATTGTAATTTCATAAACATTTATTTGAAATATCTTCAAATTATCAAAAAAAACTGCAAGAATAAGACAAAGACGGAGCAATGGTGGCTGCTGGTGGGAACAGGGGTTTTTGGGGGGTGATGGAAATACTCTAAAATGGGTTGTGGTGACGGTGGCACAACCTGTGAATATAGTACCATTAAATTGTATGCTTCAAGCGGGTGAATTGTATGGTCTATGAACTACATCTCAATACATTTGTAAAATAAAATAAGACAAAACCCTCCCAAGTACTGTTCATTGAGACCCCCTGATTTTAACATTTCACCACACTTGCCGCCACTCGAGGGTAGGATCAGACATGATTTCTCCTTAATACCCTTGTATATCTTGTGTATTTCCTAAAACCAGCAAGAACACTTGCCTGTGTAGCCTGAAAGCAACCACCCAAATCAGGACGACACTGATCCCAAGCCCTTGATGCACAGACCCCGGCACACGCTGTCCTCCCCAGTCGCGTCTCTTACCTACCCACCATTGCGCTTTGCATTTAGTCTCCTTCCGGCTCGCTCTTCAGTCTTTCCCTGCATGATCTTAATAATCTTGAAGGGTACACGCCACTTAATTTGTAGAATGCCCCTCTGTTTGACTTTGTCCGATGTTTCCCCATGAAGAGATTTAGGTGATGCATTTTGGGCAGGAACATCACAGAAGTGAGACTGTGTCTGTGTCGACATCCCATAGAGCTCGTGCTATTGAATTGTCTCTTGACTGCCATAGTCACTTTGACCAGTTGAGATGGTAGGTTTCTCCACTGCAAAGTTATAAGTATTTTATGCTTTCTCATTGACAAATAATAAGTTTTTTAACAGGTGAAGCTTTGAGACTATGTAAACATCCTGTTCTTTTTTATTGGATTTATTGGGGTGACATTGGTTAATAAAATTATATAGCTTTCAGGTTTACAATTCTATAACACATCATCTGTATGTTGTATTATGTGTTCACCACCTCAAGTCCTGTCTCCTTTCATCACTGTTTATCCCCTCATACCCTCTTCTACCTCCCCCTACTCCCCTTTCCCTCTGGTAATCCCCATGCTGTTGTTGGCTGTGTCTAAGAGTCTGGGGAGAGGGGGTCACTTAATTCGTTCACCTTTTTCCTTCTAACAGCTGTCAGTCTGTTCTCTATGAATCTGTTTCTAATTTGTTTGTTAGTTTATTTTGTTCATTAGATTCCACATATGAGTGAGATCATATGATATGTATCTTTCTCTGACTGGCTTATTTCACTTAGCACAAGGCTCTCCGGGTCCATCCATGTTGCCGCAAAGGGTAAGGTTTCCTTTTTTACAGCTGAGTAGTAGTCCGTGGTGTAAATGTACCACAACTTTTTTATCCACTCATGGGCACTTGGGCTGCTTCCAAACCTTGACTATTATAAATAACACTGCAATGAACATAGGGGTGCATGTATCCTTTCCAATTAGTGTTTCGGGTTTCTTTGGATACCATCTTTTCTTTATATAGTTTCACCCACGGGTCTTAGATTCACGGATGGTTCTTGCCTCCATCAACTGTTACTGCGGTGGTTGCCCAGTGCAATTCTCCACCATTTCTTCATTCTTATTAGTAGGCAATCTACTGAAAGGAAAAGCTTCTCCTCCATTTTTAAATGTACATCATATTAACTCATTCATTCCCATTTTACTCAATGGGTTATAATCTACTGCCAGTCATTATTTATTTTGATCCTAAAACTGTCCCTGATTTGGACAGTGGGAGTCCCTTCAAACTGGCTACTGTGTGTCCTTCAGCATGTCCCCGTGGTTCTTTGAGTACATTCTCGATTTCTTCTACAGGAGGTTCCATGCTCACCTTGAGCTTCCTGTGCACCAGCCTGAAGTCAGCCGCTGCTCCACAGAGTTCTGCTCCCTCCCTGGGGAGGGTGGAGTTTGCGAAGCAAGAGCTGGGAGCCGGGTGTGGTCGTTGCTATTGGAGTGTGGCTCCTGCTAGTCACCTCAGTGGACAGAACTAAGGTATATATAAAGATATGCCCACATACACATAAATAAATAAGCACATATATCTATTCTATATGTGCCTAAGTATGTTCGAAACCGTGACCTCATGCCAATATCTCTAATTCCAGTCCAGCGCCACGTGATTTACCCTTTTCTCCCTATCCATGGTTTTGCCTCCCTTCTGCAATAGTGAGAAACCTGCTTCCCATTGTATTCAAAATATTTACTTATTTGCTCAATTCCCTCAGATATTACCAATATCCCAATCAAGCCAACTTTGATTTCATAATTTTGAAATTACACTAAGAGATTCAAATGCAAAACCCACTAAAATTGTTATGATTTAAAATGCTTTTAGTTAAAAAATATATCAAACTTGAATTGGAAATATCATTGTAAACTAATGTTCTAAA